ATCGACTCTTTTTCATAGAATGTTACGATCTCAAGTGTTATTGTACTTGCCAAAAATTCATTGATACCATTTTTTTTAATTCGTTAATCATTTGAGAAATACCCACACCTTTCTCAAGACCTATATGCATAATGCTTTCTCCATCAATATCCGTAAGTTTTCATACACCGTATATTCAAACTCTTCAGATTCTATAACGATTTCTTTTTTCTTCTTGCAAATATTGTTTAAAGTTTGATCTTCACGCTTCTTTTTTCTGCTTTCATTTATGAGAGTAATTATTCAAAGCATGTTTTTTGATTATTTTGAAATGCAAAATGGGTTTCATAATTCGACAGAATGAACAACGATACGTAAAATGTTTATTTTTTCCATTTTAGCAAATTACAGTAAAATCAAAGAAATAAAAATTTAGATATTATTTTTATTATAGTACGCATTACTAATCAAATATTATCATTATCATTATTGTTATATCAGTAAATAAGTTTAAGCTCCGTATTATATATGTACGTACGTACATGATTTTGGTGGCGATACTAGGTGGGTCATGATCTTGTATGTTTAAATTTTGAGGTTTTATTAAAATTATTTTATTAAATTATTTAGACATTTTGGCATTATTTAGGATTTCGACATCACTGACACTACTTTAACAAAGAAACTATTGGTGTTTCACGATTCTTGATCGTCAGTATCATTAATTTTATTCCTTATTTGTGATACTGATACCATTAAATTTTCTGGACAAGTTATAATATCATTGAGCCAATTTTGAAAAAATGTATCAGCATGATTATCGGGAAAATGAATATGATTTAACAGGGGTGATAAATGCTGAGAAATCTTAATCATAACCCTGATAACTCGTAGCACCTGGTGTGAAATTGGCATAATCTACATCCTCTAGCACGATACTTTTAAGTTTAATATAGGTGGGCTTAACAATGAGTGAATTCACATCGTGGGCTTGTAATATTAATAGTGGGTAGAATTCTATGTTATTGGAAGTAGGTTTGTAATTTCCGGAGTGAGCGGTGAACCTCAAGCCCAGACACTAGTGGGTTTCAGGTGGGTTTTTGATTTACCATGAATACAGACAAGATTTTAATAGTGATGCTTTCGTGATTTCAACAATGTGTTTGGTTAGGATTTTAACAGTAGGTGCTTTTGTCATTTTATAATTAGATGCATCAAAATTTGTGTTTAATGTCTATATGAATATTTTATTTAATTTTATGTTATATTAATTGTTACTGTGTATCAATTAAATAAAAATTGTTCCCTTGTTGGAAGAATAGGTATTATAAAATTTCTATTTCGGTATTTTTATTTGTTAACTAAATACCAATAATATATACACTAACACGATTCGTAATTAAACTTTTTTTGTTATTTAAATCCAATCTAAAACACTATTGCTAATGTTTAATCTATATTATACCCTGGTCACTATATCAAGATCACAGGGCATAAATCAGTTATATCCTGGGCACTATGTGTATAAGCGGGACTTTCAGCCCCGCTTATACCCAACTACCCAAAATATAACTATTACTTAGCCCTGACCCCAAATCTAACCTCAAAATCTGATTCTAAATCCAATCCTTTAACCCAAACTCTAATAAGCATGATGTTTTTGCAAAGTGCATCAATTAATGCTTTTCCTCCTCCTAATTCAAGATTAGAAATTAAAAGATCTAAAAAAGTTAACATTGTATTCTCATAGAGAGCATCAGCTAGCACTCTTCCTTTTTCTGATCCAAAATTGTTACGAAGGAATGAAGAAATTGGCGTAGTATTCTTACAAAGTGAATCAACTAATGCCTTTCTTATTCTGATCTGAGATTATAATTGAATGATCAGTGCGTATTTTTGCACTTTTCCTGTTCCTGACCCAAAGATTGTTATTACTAAGGCATAATAAAATTAGTATGGTATTCTTGCAAAGTGTTTTTTCTATTAAGTCAATATTATAATTAAAATAGAAATACGAATATTTCTACATACCAAGTTTGTCTTTGCTGATTATATGTCATCATCATATTTAGGATTGGTAAGATTTTGAGTGCATCTCCAACAGTTTTTATGTCATAAGACAAAAAAAAGTTTAGTTCAGCTAATAAGTTAAGAATTACGACTTTATTATTTGGATCTTATCTAAATATCAAGTTGTTGAAAGAGTTAGTGTTATAGGTGTTTGGTTCAAAATCTTGAAAACATAATCCCAAAGAATAAAATCTCGAAAAAAATTAACTGGAATTAAGCTAACGCTAACCTAATTTGGGCTAACTTTTCAGGATTCTGATCTTTTATTCGTCGGAATTTTGTCTGGCTCCCGTATTATAGAATCAACATTTCCCCGAGCACTAAAGCGTTGATCTTCGAATCTACTAATTAGTAATTCAATATTAGTCTATGAAAAAGAATAAGGCAAAATGCACAAAAAATATACTAAAAGTTCTGGTATGTTGTTTTGTTCTTTGGTCCAACTTCCATATATACATTTTCATTTCTATTATTTTTTTTTGTTAAAGCCCATTATTGCCACTAGTTGATTGTTTATTACGGTTTTTTTGCAATTCTCCACCCCAGTCTGAAGACCATAAAAAAAACAAAAAAAAGAGTGTATTAATATATTGTATTTTATAGGCAACAAAAAGTTTGTAACTAAATAACATACCTGTCAAAAATTCTTTATATAATCCACCAAATAAAAAGCCAAGAAATCCTTTAGCGTTCTTTCATAGGATTAAACCTTTTGAAACCACATAAGTATTATATACAGTCTGGTAAAATCAAGCTTAAATATTATCAGAAAAAATATGTAATAGTTGATAATAAAATGTAATAAAATGAATATACAGTAATATAAAACAAACCTTCTGTTTCTGAATATTTATACTGACAATAGAATGAAAAATAATGCTTTGCCTTTGAAACTGTGTAATTTCCTTCTTAATATGAGTGAGAAAGTGTTTGAAGAAACTAATGTGTATGATTTGAATTTGTATCTGGCAGTTTACAGTTGTTTTTTTAAACAAAACAACTGAATTACTGGCTACAATTAAAAAGATCAAGAAAGACATTTATGGCTTTGTATTTATATCTGTAATTAGAATGCAGTGTGACAAACACTTGATGTGTTAAATATATATATATCATATGGTTACTGATGATCATTTTTTACATGATTAATTACCTGTCGGTATAATTATGGTCAACCTTAGTAAGTTCCAAATCTAACTCTACTATGCTACATTTAAAAATCTAACTCTACCATATTATGCCCAAAAAAACTAACTACTTTGCTATGTTTAAGAAACCTATAGTACAAAAGAAAGAAAAGCTTTAGTTCTAATGAAAAAAGTTTAAGAAACAAAAAAAAACATACCAATAAACAGTAATTCTATAATATCACAACAGTAATAACAAAGCTCATAAATTGCTTATTTCAACTAGCAAATTTTGTGTCAAAAAATCACAATATTAAGATCTCACTTTTTTTAGCTCAAGTTATAATTAGAGATTAATTAGGATGATTGAAAGTAGAGGTTTTACATTATCATTTCAAATATCATTTGATAAAAAGTGTAAATAAAAATCTTGTAAAACCTTTGAAAGAAATGATGTAAGAAAAACATGACAGGGCCAATCAAATTTTGCCAAATTTTGTAGATCATTCTAGATCTTTAATCTCAAATGATCTCCAATTTGAAATATACACTGACTGTATAATATAGTGTTTTAATATAATATAGCATTTTAATAGCAAAAGTGAAAATCTGCAATAAGAAATAAATTGACTGATTCAATTGTTTTTTTTTAACTTTTAATAATGATAAAAAACGCTTAAGCAAAAATAAACTTATAACAATGACGATGAAAAAAATGTTTTTTAAATAAGGACAAAACCTCAAATTTATTGTAAACATTTAAGCAAAAAAAAATTTAAATAGCAATGATGATAAAAAAAAATTAAATAAGGACAAAGCTTCCGATTTTATTGTAAGTGCTTTGTAAAGACCTGATATATTGCAATCACTTGATATTACTTTTTATTTTTTTATTCATGTAGAAAGAAATTTAACGCGTAAAAGGTAATGTGTATCACTTATATATAATGATCTACATTTCACGTAATTCAATTACACAGCGAAATTTTTTTTACTGGTGATACTTGATTGCTAATGCAGGCCGGCCGTAAAGAGACGTTTAAGTTGACACAAATGGCAGGATTCTACTAAGAGAGGGTAGGGCAGGATGCGAAATTGCTTTGCCATTTGAGGGCTTCTGTCATACTACCCTACAGTTTCTCCGTTTTATTGTCATATGGAACTTAATTTGAGATAATTGAGTTTAATCATTTGTTTGATTTTCGGACTGATCCGGAATTAATCAAATTTCACGATTTTGATTGGCTAAAGGTAGCATGTGACTATCGGATAATCTCGTGATGTGTTGGCTCTACGAAGCCTCGTGTAATTTTCTTTTACATTAACTTGATTTTTTATTACGCAAATCGACTTTCATTTATAATTGAAAAATGTTAATCATGTCAAAATTTATATGAATCTAATAAAAACTCAATTTTCAAAAAAATGTAAAAATGGGCTGTTTCTATTGTCCGCACCCCATATGTTCCCTGCTAAATTTGGTTATATTAGTATTTGCGCCGTAAACTCCTGAATTAGTAAGTTCATTAAATTTCTACTTATCTTCCCCTTGCATATACTGGATTCTCTTGCCGGAACCGGGATCACCCGTGTGATCGTCGCTTGCTAATGCATCACTGCGTCAACTTGAATAATTGGTAATTTCGTATTTACAGAATTGACCAATCAGATTTTTACAAAATAACATGTGATTTACAAATGGTCTACATAAATTAGCCAATTTCAAAACAGTTATAAATAAATTGATCACAATAAAATTGTGAATTCAAAAAAAAGACCGCCAATACCAATAAATTCATAATCTACCAACAATCTAAGATGTGTTTATTTGTTATTTAACGAATTAACATTATCTTTCTTACTTATTTTTTTTAATAATTCAACATTTATAACATGTTCTTCTAAAAATTTTTCAAGTGATTTTAAACGGTCTTCTATTTTAGATTCATCACGGTTATTAAATGGAATTGGCTTGAGACCTTCTTCAAGTTTTCTTTGGGTATGATTTGCAAAGCAAAATCCATATGATTGAATAAATCCCCAAGGTTCAATTTTCTTCATTCCTAAAAAATAACAACGGATTTTTATATATTATCGTAAAACAATGATAATTATTGTCGCGACTGATGCTGAAATTTGGGGTCGCAATTTTAAAATACAAGTCCTGATAGAATCCCCATAAACACTTTAATTAAAATTCTAGCCAAAGTCCTACCTAACCTTTAAAAAAAAAGCCGAAAAACACCCCAAAAAAAATTTAAATTT